GAGCGACCTCTTCTAAAACCACACTGGTTTTTATCGAAAATTTTCTTTTGTTCTAGAATGTATACTAGCCTTCTGTTTATAAGCCGTTCATAAGTTTTTCCTAGACAACTAGTCAAAGCGATAGGCCGATAACTTGCTGGTAGGGAAGGGTCTTTGCCAGGCTTCAAGATGGGAATGATGTGTGCTTGCTTCCAGCACTGTGGAAAACAAGAAGCTGCCCATAAATGATTAAAGAAAGACAACAAATTCATCAAGGATTCAGCCGACAAGTGCCTCAGCAGTTCATAATGAATCATATCTGGGCCAGGTGCTGACTGCTTCCTTACTGCAAGGGCTATTTCAAGTTCATACATTGTGAACGGCCGGTTGCAACCAGTATCACTTCCAGAAAAATCAATTGGCTGTTTTTCTGCCAAAGACCTGAACTTTTTAAATTTAGTACTGTAATTTGAAGAACTGGAGACCTCTCGAAAATGATCAGCAAGAATGTCAGCCTGATCTTTTAGTGATGGGGATGATGAAGGAAAAAGGGGAATACTGAAGGAGTGGTAAGTACCCCGAATTTTCCGAACACGATCCCATACCTCTTTTGCAGGAACAAAACTGTTCAGAGAGGATACATATTTTACCCATGAGGTCCTCTTGGCTTGTTTTCGTGTCCAACGAGCTTTTGCTTTGCACTGTTTGAATTTAATCTTGTTCTGAACAGTCGGGTACCGCCGAAACCTTCCCCAAGCCTTATTCTGAGCTTTTATGGTGGTCGTACAGTCCTTGTTCCACCAAGGCTTGCATTTCTTGGGAATATTTCCAGAGGTTCGGGGAACTGACAGAGAAGCAGCATTTATAATTTTTTCAGTAAGGTAAAGAGTCGCTTCCTCAGGAGACATAGCTAAAAAAAACAGCGGGATCGACGGCTGCCTCCAGAGAAAATAAAGACCAGTCGGCTTTATCTAATTTCCACTTGGGAGCACAAGCTCGAAGAGAAGGAAGGGATACTGAACTTTCTAAAATTACAGGAAAATGGTCACTACCAAAAGGATTTTCTAAAACCTTCCAAGAAAAACAAGGAAGTAAAGCAGGTGATGATATGGAAAGATCAATGGAAGTAAAAGTATTATGAGGTGCACTAAAAAAAGTCGGTTGTCTCTTGTTTAAAAGGTAAAGGCCAGATGACAGTAAAAAACGTTCTATGACACCACCACGGGAGTCTTGACGACCACTGCCCCACATGGGGTGGTGTGCATTAAAATCTCCTAAGATTAAAAAAGGTTGCGGGAGTTGGCCCACAAGTCCTTGCAGGTCATGTACATGCACTGGAAGGTTTGATGGAAGGTAAAGCGAGACAATTGTAATTAGGCGGTCAAGCAGAACACGAACAGCTACTGCCTCTAAGTGGGTCGCAAGAGGGACAGGAGCACAGGCAATACCACTCTGCACAACCACAGCTACTCCACCAGAAGAGCTGTTGCAAGAAACACGGTCCTTTCTAAAAACCTGATGTCGCCGTAGTACCTGTGTATGTGTTTCATTAAGATGAGTCTCCTGTAAACAGATGGCAACAGGCTGGAGCTCATCGAGAAAAAAGTTGACATCATCAATATTTCGTAAAAGACCGCGGCAGTTCCACTGCATTATACCTATATTTTTAACCATTTAAAACAAAATAAGTATAACATACAAATTCTACTAAAAAGCTATATTGCTTACGATTTAAAATCTATTTTTACACGCGGTGCACTTTGTTTTTTGGGGGGGTTATTCTGCCTCCGATTAGAGTCACCGGAGGCAGAGGGGGTGGACTCTGATCTTGAGAGGAGAGCCTCCTCATCAGATCTCGACCCACCCTCATCCATGGGCTCGTCTGCAGTTGCTGGCAGCTGGCCCTTGGAGGTCGACTGCTTTGGCACTTCCCCAGGCTTCCTCTGGGGAGCAGAGGTGTGGGGAGGTAGGCCCCGACCCCGAGAGGTCGAAGCAGCTGGTTGAGCAGGAGACGTCATCTCCTGTTCTGGGGTGGATGCTGGCAAGGCAGCATTCACCTTGCGGTTCGGAGGCGGTGCCACCGGCGCCGCTCCCGGGGGTTTCGAGGGGGACCGTGATGGGAGATGCAGGTCGTCCGGAGACGTCTGCGTTCCCATCGAAACCATTGGCCGAGCTGGTCCCCTCCGCACGGCCTCGGCATAAGTGCCTTTTGAAACAAAGGCAAAATGCTTCTTTGCCTCAGTATACGTGATGTTTTCAGTGACTTTTAATGTAACAACTTCTTTCTCGTCTTTCCACACAGGGCAAGAGCGGGAGTATGCCGGGTGGTTGCCACCACAGTTTGCGCAATGGGGCTCATTATTGCACGCATCTGTGACGTGCTCCTTGCTGGAGCACTTTGCACAGGTGTCCCTTCCCCGACAGTTCCGTGACCCATGGCCTAACCTCTGGCACTTAAAGCACCGTTGAGGGTTCGGCACATAAGGTCGGACACGGCACTGAAGGTAACCTGCTTTTACAGTCTGTGGCAGAGTGGTTGAATCGAAAGTCAAAATGATGTGTTTTGTCTTCCGTTCCACACCATCACGGCGGATAGTGATTCGTCGTGCATCTGTAACTCCTTGACTAGAGAGGCCCTCAATTATCTCTGGCTCAGGTGAGTCAAGCAAGTCATCCTCAGAAATGACTCCTTGAACACTGTTCAGTTTGCGGTGAGGACTGACGCTTACCTTGTAGTCCGAGACAAGGTTGAGTTTGAGAAGGGCATCACTCTGCTGCTTTGTGTTGACCTCGACAAGGAGATCATCAGAAGCCATCTTTTTTGCACTGTAATTGGAGCCAATAACACCTTCAAGAACTTTGGAGACCAGAAAGGGAGAAAGTTTGCCAAGTGGCTTGTCACCTTCCGAGTGCATTACAAGGAATTTCGGGAATTTCTGCAGTACGAAAGATTCTTTCATCATGTTCAGTGCTTCGGTGCGGCCCCTTTTGGGGGGCTGATCAAAAGGTTTAAGTTTGGAACCCATATGAAGGGGGAGGGTTTTCGGAAACTGTGGTGCACCGCCCACCACCGAGCCCAACAAGGGAATAGGTAACGCTCCATAACAAGAATGGCTTGGCTGAAGACGTTACTCTATTAGTGCTGCCCAGTTTCTATAACCAAGTGTGGTTCTAGACAAGGTGTCTGTCGCCACCCAGGGTTAGCCCTTGCCGCCAAAAGAGTTGAAAAAGGAAAGAAGAGAAATGAGAAGAGTGAAAAGAAGGAGAAGACAAGGGTGAAGGAAGGGAGGGGATAGTAGAAGTGGCGACTAGACTGAATCATCCTGGCCGGGCCTTACCAGGACTCCCGTCTATGAGAAGCGGGGGCCGAAGTGGTGTATTGCCTCGCCCGGGGGGCCCCGAAGGGTCCAAACCTACCCCGGGCTTGGCTCAACCACCAGGATGCCCTTTTCCCCAGACACGGGAAAGCCACGCACAGCCATACGTGGGCGGGCGAACCCGCATGGCTCGGGGTCCGTGGAGACGCCACTCTCCAAACACCTGCTTTCACAGGTGCCCCCTGCGGGGCCACCAGGCGGTGAAATAGGCGGCGCATACTAGAAAGGTGTAGTGGGGGATCAGGCACATACAAGCAGCTAGCATAGAAAAGTCCCGGATGTACACGGCGCCGCTGCAGTCGAGAATCCGACTGGTTCAGAGCATTCCGAAGGCCTTCGGCAAGCAGCTATGGCTTGCGGTTTGGCCCTTTATCGGCATGGCAGTGCAAAGTGGCTCCGGTTCTGAACTGATCTTTATCCTGTGTTTGCTGTCAATTGTGGCCAACGAAGTGTCATGCCGAATTAGTGTTTAATCGCACAGCAAATGCAATGCGAGTCGCCCTGGCTGACCGCTTCATACAGTCTATCCAGAACATGCTTTAGTGACGCCCTCTCAAGCCGTCAACAGGCAGTGCGGCAGCCGTGAACGCTCGCTGAGCTCACTGCCCCTCCTCTAGCTCACGGCCACTCAACCGACCAAGGACGTCATGAAGGAGCTTATCTTTTGCTTGCTTTTGTAATTTTAGTTCGCCTATAACTTTTAAAATAAAGCGAAATGCAAGAAAAGAAAAGTTTTATTAAGTTACTACGTACAGTGCACTCAGGTTCAGTGCAAATTAAAAACCAGTAAAAAAGTCCTTGCAGGGCCCCCTTCAAGTAAAAACAATGCGTCTGCATAATGACGGCGCTTTTGCTGCCAACGGATTTCATCTGTGTGTCGTCTGCTTGCTTTCTTTTGCTGATTGGCTGCACCTTCGGACGCTGTTTCCGACGCCATATATCACTCCGAATGCCAAACACACCCCACTACTGGACTTGGTCGTCTGTATCACCACCCGCCGTAGACCCTGGCAAGTTTCTTGGCCCTATTTTTTACAGAAAGAGAGCTACGCTTTGTAATTTTACAAGAAAACCCCGACCTGTGAAATACACCTTTGACGAAAAGTTTAGATTGCTAAGTGCAGGCATTGATTTTTATGGTTCATTTTAGATCGAGCCTGGTGACTTGGGTCACCCTGTATATAATCTGTCAGGCTAAGGCCAAACTCAAGCTAATATTAAAAAAAAAAAAAAAAAAAAAAAAAAAAAAAAAACATTTTTGTTAGGCTTGGGCCGGGCTCAAGCTTCGGTCTAAAAAATTCTGCCGGGCATGGGCAGAATCTCTTCCGGGCCGGGCCTAGAAATTAAATATTCTATCGGGGTCGGGCCGGGAATGGAAATTCCGGCCCGTGCAGTGCTCAAGTAGGGGGGCGTGCGACACTACTCGAATATCTCACCGGCCGGCCTCTGAAACTGGCGCCTTATCTTTTTTTCAACCATAAGCCATTGGCGTCAACTGGAAAACAGGGAGTGTGGCCCGGAATCTATTCGCAGATGCTGCTCAAGAACGATTTTCCTTTGGGAAGACGGGAGACATTGACGACAAATCTGCAACTATCCAGCTATCGCGCAAAGTTACATCGGCGGACGAGCTGCATTACTCACCCGACGATGTAGCCCAAAATGACCAGTTGGATGAGCCTGTTGAGGGCTCCAATCTTCTTGTTCGATATATGGACGACTTTGAGGGTGTCATATTCGAAGATGTAGCTGACCGTGTCTTTCATACAAGTACCGAGCCCCATCACGCACGTTTCACCCGAAAGCTGCCCGAAAGTGTGCGCCTTATTAGTCTTGTCTTGTCTTGTCTCTGAAAGTGCGGTCGGTGCGGTTCGGACGATTTCGGAACCCGAAAGAAATCATCCCTTCTACCACGTCGGGTGGTATCGGGCGGCAGCTTGCGCCATCTATACTGCACTAATTCCCATATTTTTTTTTTTTCAAATGACGGGAGGCGGACTGAAGTGAGTGAGGTAGGTAGTTAGCGTAGGTAAGTACCTTCCACCCCTCCTCCGCCGGAGTACAACTGGTACAACTGGTAAAACTTCTGGTTGCCTGACATGACACCAGCGAGCTATGCCAGCGAGCGACCTGAACCAGAAGAGTCTGACTACCGCTAACTACCGCTACTTGAGGCGGGTCCATATCACAGGAGCGAATGACATTTTAGCGAACGGCGACATTTGAGCGAATGGTCGTTTTAGCGAATAACGGGGCCGCGCGTTAACCCATCCGTCGCGCTGCGCTTTACGGCGCTTCGCCGCTTCGCGGCGACAGTCTGCGGCAACTCATTACACAAATATGAACTCATTTGGCCCACCCGAAAACGCCGCTTCGCGGCGTCCGACTATTCGCTAAAGTGTCGTTCGATCAAACGTGGGCGTTCGCTAAAACGTCATTCGATCAAGTGAGTGCCTCCCACTTGAGGCACCGCCAAAATCCCGACCGGCGACAACTTTTCTTGGCAATGCAGTGGAAGGTGCGTCCCGCGTCCCCTCTTCCATTTTGAGTGTACGCAGGCTCTCCTCCTCCCCCATTTCCGGGGAGAGGAGGAGGGCCTGCGGCCTGCTTACACTCAAAATGGGAGAGGGGACGCGGGACGTACCTTCCACTAGGGTGGCTACTTCCACTGCATTGCCAAGAAAAGTTGCGCTTTGAGCCAGCCGCAGGCCAGCGCATGAGCCAGCGTACAGTCCAGCGGCTCACACGGCTCACACTTGCACACACGCTGCACACGCACACAATCTCTGCCCTCTCTCAGAGCCCTCTCTCACTGCACCTCTGCCCTCTCTCAGAGGAGAGCCGTCTCTGCATCCATCCATCCATCCACTCTGCTTGATCCATTGCGATCCATTGTCACATTTTAAAGATGGCGCCGCCAAAACATGAACGGATAAACATTTGTTGCGCGTGGCGAAAAGACTTTTTCGGTCACAGTCCTGGTATTTTCGATGGAGATGAAACAGCATGCTGACAGATTTATGTGTGGTGTTTGAAAGGTTTAGAGTGAGCTCTTCCCGCGCACTGTCCTTGCCTCCTTGTCGTAAGAGACTCGCGACGTTCCCTTTCTACCACCGTTGACGACTGCGGCGGCCACTGCGACGGCGATGTCGACGACGACACCCTCTATGCCCTCATCAGTAAAGGTGTGTATCCAATTTCTATTCAAAAAGTTTTCCTCTGGCAATTCAGTTGCTGACCCATTTCGTGCACGCGAGAAGAATGCGGCCGGTAGCCCTCGGCGTTCGGGGGTGCTATGTTGCGCTTTTTGCACTCCCAGGAGACTTGGAAGAGGGAAGTGACGTCAACGACACAGCAAATGCAGATTGGATGTTGACAGAAGAAAACGAAATCAGCCCCCAATCTGCGTTTGCTGTGTCGTTGACGTCACTTCCCTCTCCCTAGTCTCCTGGGAGTGCAAAAAGCGCAACATAGGGTCTACATTTGTCCGTGTGGAGCACGCACTCGGAATTACGTATACTCCGTGTCACTAGTTGCGTGCAGTACAGCCGAAGGCAACACCAGGCGTGGGGAGAAAGGTCAAACACTAGGAAGGCTGTGGAGGAGGAGAGAAACCTCCTCGCCTCTCTAACGTTCCTAATGCTTTCCCTTTCTCCCCTCGCCCACCATTGCCCTCCTGTCCGTCCCGCCTTCCTCGTGCTCTCCCTTCCTCTTCGCCTGGCGTTGCCTTCGCCTGCACTGTACACAACTAGCGACACAGAGTATACATGCCTTGCACATACGTCACATGATGACGTCGAACACCGGTATCCACCATGCTGGTGGTTGACTTGACGGCCCTTCGCAGCGAGAGCAATGGTAAACTGCGCCGCGCTCTGCTGTAGCAATTACCTCATATCCCAATGATTGTCCGATAGTTTCGTCGGCATGCCCATGTGGCAGAGTAGCCGTCAAGTTAGAGAAAGTACGAGTGGCAGGAAAGGGATGCGTCCGCGGAAACAATACAGAAATACATTGGTATAACCACTGGTGAAATTGGATTCAGCCCCCGTTTCGCTGTAGGTTGGAAACGGAGCTCCAGAGCTTAACTGCACCCCAGTCGAGAGTATGTAATTTGGTGGTAGATGCAATACAGATCAAACAGAAGCTCAAGTACCACACACAAAGAGGTGCCTTTGTTGGTTAGGTGGATATGAGCCAGGACTTAGGTCACCTGATCTCAGCTGACAACCATAAATTAGCAAACTCATTGCTTTGTTTTCTGCTGTGTGGCCTGGCTGGCAGCTTCAAGATACCTGTTGGGTATTTTTTTTACCAAGGGCTGCACTGGAGCTGAACTTGCAGAAACCATCGTCCACGTCACAAAGAAGACAGAGGAACTTGGCTTCGAAATTGTGACTGGTCATGGATAAGCACTAGATAAATGTTGCCGCAATGGACATACTGTGCGAAGGGCCTGCCACGATGTCAACTCCACATCCAGCGGACCCAAAAAAAAACAACCTTTATCTGGTCTTTGACCAATGTCACATCATAAACAATGTCAAATCACAATTTCTTGATAAGGAAATTGGTGGTAAAAAAGAGATCTCATCGGCTCCTTTGAAGCAGCTCTACATGATGCAACAGGGATCCACGGTGAAACCAGTCAGGTTCCTAACACGAAAGCATCTGTACGCCTCGAACATAGAAAAGATGAGTGTGAGGCCAGGTGTACAAATCTTCTCCCCACTTGTGACAGCTGCACTGCAGCACATGAAAATAGAGTGTACCAGAGGGGTATGAGTGGGACGACCGTAGCGGTTTTTCTGAAGCGACTTGTGTGGATTAAATGGAGGGTGCTATGAACAAAGTGGCATGGCGCGGAGCCATGCGCAAGTACGCGGAAAGGCTCTGCAACTCACTACCGCATATTCCGCCTGGTATCGTAGATCCGCAATTGGCCGTGGAAATACTAAGGTTCGGAGTTTGTGTTTGCAGCCTCTACAAAGCTGCTTATGTAAAATACTTATTATGCTTGACTAGGACGACGAGTAAACGAGCGCTGCTTGAACAAGTCTGTCGTCAACTGCCGTGCATGTCTATTTTTTTATGTTTCTAGCTTTGTAAAACTTGTGCGCAGCGCAGATACAGCTGTTGCCGGCCTTTTATGTGTACCTCTCAACTGAACTGTAAACAAAAATACTACTATGACATGCAACTCTTTCACTAAGAAATATGGTGGCCAATAGTTGAGCCCAGCACTTCAAAATATGTTTATTCATTGAGAAGGGATTAAATACAATAAAGAAAAAAACAAAGCGGACATCAATTGCACTCAAAATATTTAGACATATACACTGTAAAACAGAAGACTGTCAAAATACATGTCAAGTGTTCTGGTAATAAACGCAAAAACCAATAAACAAAAAAAAAAAATTTGCATGGAAGTGACATGCAAGAAAACAAATACACTACGAGGTAGGAGACTAAACCATGCATCTCAGCGGAACTATGGCGTCGCTTGAAAGACTTCATCATTCATACACCACATCATGTGCACCTACGTGCCTACAAGTGCTGTACCATTTTTCGCCTTTCTTCTTTGGACCTATTGATACCTTTGATCAGAAAGTGGAGGCGTGTGACAATATAGAACTTTACAATGCTAGACTTAACGTCTGCTTCGTGATCAATGCAGCCGAGTGTTTTTTTCTTTAACCCAAACCAGTGCCAGTACATCCAGGATACTGTTTGCATGTAGTCGACTTGTGCTAAAGCAATTGGTGAAAATGTCCTCCAAGTAGTTTTTGAAGTCAAAAAGCTCCTTTGAGGGATACATTAATCCACCTCTGTCACAAAATCCCGTAAAGCCAGAATGCACGTCTGTTTTGCCTTCAGAGGCTGGAACTAGCAACAATACACGACATATGTTGCATCCGGACTTTCCCACACATTTTCTGGCAACATAGCCAGCCATATGGTACACTAGGCGTGCATCACTCTTTTTTTTTTTACGAGGCTGGAATGCTCCTCAGAGAAGGAATCGCTATCTTGGCAGGCGGTACTCGTTAAACCATCAATGTCTCCTCGAGAAAAGTATGTGTCAACAGTTTGCTGCAGGCTTGTGGACTGAGATGAGCACGTGTCTCTGGTGTCAAGGAGCGCTTTCAGCAGCAACGGTTCAACACTAGTGCCTTGCACTGGCTTAGCCAGACTGTAAAACCTTAGGCAGTTTACAGTTATCAAGAACTGCTTCGGTGTTGGGTGGTCGTTGCAGCCAGATGACTGACGAACAATCCTAAATAGGTTTTCAATAGGGTCTTGGCTTAGGCAACAAGTCATCAAGTACCGGTAACCAAGTTCCTTGGTTACATGCTCCAGCAAAGCTAACACACTAGTCAGGGTGACTCTGAAACCAGGAGCAGTAGATTTGCTGATGAATCCAACACCGTTCTTGGTGTTCTGCTCCCACTTGGTTATATACTCGAGGAAGCTTGTTAATGAGGCAGGACCTGTCGAGTTAGGCCACAGTGCTCCCGACTTGAAGCGGGAAGTCATGAGCTTGATCAGCTCGTTCATCATTCTATAACGAAACAATAATCAAACATTTCACTAGGGTAGCAAAAGCTATAACTGCTGTCAGCTACTAAAAGGTAAAGTTAATATATTTGATATACCTAATGATTATGCCTTCAGGCTATTTGTCTCCATACATTTCATTTAATGACGCTTAGTAGCAGTTTCATCGAATGCCCATTTATTGAACGCTGTTTCATTGATGCCGTTTCATTGTACGCCACCTCAATTAATAGAAGGTTTCAGTAGTTTCTTTTATTCTTTTTTTACTTGATAGCTGCATCAAACTATTTGTAGAAGCCTTAAGTTTATTAAAGTTTTTTAGAAGACAGTGCTTTTCAAAAGCACTGCAAAGGTTAAAAATATTGGTAAAATATTTAGTGAATGACTGAATGATATTTAGTGAGCAACTTAATGATACATAGTTGAATGAGATGTCTTAATTGATGAGACATAGATGAAATGCCAAATATCCTTCTCTGTCACATGCGCAGACAGTTAACACTAACCTGAAGAATAACTCTGTACCATCTAATGCTCCCTTGCCATGGCTTGACTCGATGATGTCCCTGTAGTGGTGCAGACCTCGCAGTGCACGGTCCTCAAAAAGCTGGAATGCAAGGGAAACCCTCATCTTCCCGAAACCGTTTGGGTCAAGGTGGCTAGCGGTCAGCCCTGGCATTGCCTTCAAGGTGATGTTGTCCTTGTCGTGATTGAAGGCTTCACAAACATAATATGTGGATACCTGCAACATTAAAAATGTCATAAGTCATTTTAGATCATATGCAATTTCAATTAGCATAAGGCAAAAAGCCGTACCCGTCCACTTGGTGTGTTGAAGCCGCCTTTCAAGGGGCACTGACACCCCAAAGGTCGCCCCGCAGAGGGCACCTGTGAAAGCAGGTGTTTGGAGAGTGGTATCTCCACGGACCCCGAGCCATGCGGGTTCGCCCGCCCACATCTAACTGTGCGTGGCTTTCCCGTGTCTGGGGAGAAGGGCATCCTGGTGGTTGAGCCGGGCCTGGGGTAGGTTTGGACCCTTCGGGGCCCTGCCGGGCGAGGCAATACACCACTTCGGCCCCCGCTTCTCATAGACGGGAGTCCTGGTAAGGCCCGGCCAGGATGATTCAGTCTAGTCGCCACTCCTTCTACTATCCCCCCCCGCAGGGGGCACCTGTGAAAGCATGTGTTTGGAGAGTGGCGTCTCCACGGACCCCGAGCCCCGCAGGGGGCGCCTGCACCTGAGGTGCTAGGTGCTTGGTGAGTAGCGTCACCACGGACCCCAGCCACATTGGCAACATCACAGACCCTGAGTAAAAAGTGGCTAAGACCCACCCACGTCTGGCTGTGCGTGGCGAGCCTGTGTCCGGGGAAAAGGGCATCCTGGTGGTTGAGCTGAACCCGGGGTAGGTTTGGACCCTTCGGGGCCTCCCGAGTGAGGCAACACACCACTTTGGCCCCCGCTTCTCGTAGACGGGTGTCCTGGCTTGGCCCGACCAGGATGATGCAGTCAGTCGCCATTTCTTCTACTATTTCCTCTCTTCTTTCTCTTTCCTCTTCTCTCGCCTTTTTTCCATTTCAACTTCTTTGGCGGCAAGGGCTAACCTTGGGTGGCGACAGACCCCTTGTCTAGCACCACACTGGGTTACAGTGCCTGGGCAGCGCTGATAGTGTAATGTCGTCAGCCAAGCCATTCTTGCTATGGCGCATTACCTATCCCCGTGTTGGGCTCCGTGGTGGGTGGCGCACTCGGGGCACCGAAGATCCTCCCATTATTATGGGTTCCAAGCGAAACTTTCTTGATCGGCCTCTGAAAAGAGGCCGCACCGAAGCTCTACTCCTTGAAAAAACACTATCTACGCCTGAAAAATTTTCAAAATTCCTCGTAATGCATTCGGAGACCGAAAAACCTCTTGCCAAACTGTCCCCATTCCTCGTCGCGAGGGTGATAGAGGGAGTGGTTGGAAAAGACTTTCATGCCAAGAAAATGTCATCTGGTGACCTCCTCATCCAGATTAACACTAAACGACAAAGCGACGCCCTCTTAGCGCTAAACTCTATCTCAGACTATAGGGTCACTGTCACAGCACACCGCACCCTTAACACCGTTCAAGGCGTCATCTCTGAAGATGATTTCCTTGATACGCCGGAGAAAGAAGTCGTTGAGGGGCTGGCCACGCAGGGAGTGACGGCTGCACGGCGGATCACCCTGCGTCGGGACGGTGTAGAATTGAAAACAAAACATATTGTTTTAACTTTCGAATCCACTTCTCTTCCCGAAGTTGTTAAAGCCGGCTACCTCCAGTGCCGCGTCCGCCCATATATGCCAAATCCGCTGCGCTGCTTTAAGTGCCAGCGGTTCGGGCATGGGTCGCGGAGCTGCCGGGGGACCAACAAGTGTGCCAAGTGCTCCAGTAAAGAGCACGTTGCTGAAGCATGTGAGAGCGAACCTCTGTGTTCAAACTGTGAAGACCACCACCCTGCCTATTCCAGATCCTGCCCTGTCTGGAAACAAGAAAAAGAAATTCTTGTACTAAAAATTAAAGAAAATATAAGCTACATTTATGCAAAGAAGCGCTTTGCATTTATCTCTAAAAGGTCTTATGCCCAGGCCGTGCACAGGGGTCCGGCACGGTCATTGGTGTCGACGGGAACGCAGACGTCTTCGGACGACCTGCGTCTCCCGTTAGGTCCCCCTTCCTCGGGAGCAGTGCCAGTTGCAGTGCCTCCAAACCGCAAGGTGGATGCTCCCTCATCAGCGTCCACCTCGGGAGCGGTGCCCATGGCACCGCCTCCAAACCGCAAGGTGGATGCTGCTGCGTCAGCATCCACCTCAGGGCAGGGTATAACCTCCCCTGCCCCACCTGCTGCTTCGGTCCCTCGGGGCCGGGGCCTCCAATCCCGGAACTCTGGTCCTCGGAGGAAGCCTGGGGAGCCCCCCAAGCAGTCTACCTCTGCAGGTCAACCTGAGGCCATTGCCTCCCCAACAGAGGAGCCAATGGATGAGAGCGGACCCAGATCTGACGAGGACGCCCTCCTCTCGGGATCTGAGTCTTCCTCTTGCGCTCCCAGTGGTCCCACTGGGAAACAGAAGGAACCTACGAAAAAGAAAAATACCTCGCGTATTAAGTTAGATTTTAAGACCTGAAGATCCCTTTTGATCAGTATGTTCTCAATTTTTTTTTTCTCTTTCGAGTTTTTTTAACTTTTTAATATTTGCTCTACTGTTTTTTAAATAATGAGTTTTATGCAATGGAACTGCAGAGGTCTTTTCAGTAATTTAGATGATGTGAAGCTCTTGTTGCAGAGGCATGAACCCTCTGCATTTTGCCTGCAAGAGACTTACCTCAAACCACCGAACAGCAACTTTCTTAGATCATATCAAGTCTACAGGAAGGACCGCGTGACTACCTCTAGCGCTGCCGGTGGGGTTGCTATTGTCGTAGACAATGGCACTCCTGCCTATGAGGTCCCCCTAGACACGCCTCTGGAGGCCGTTGCGGTGAGGTTGTTACAGCAACGCCTTATTACAATTTGCTCCATTTACATCCCCCCTTCATTTGCCTTGGAACTCGCCCAACTTGAAACTTTAGTGGATCAGCTCCCTGAACCTTTTATTTTAATGGGCGACTTTAATGCACACAACCCCCTCTGGGGCAGTGTCCGAACTGACACTCGAGGTGCTGTTGTGGCGCGTTTTTTATCTCTAAGAGAAGTATGTGTATTAAATACAGGCGAGCCAACATATTTCAGTTTTGCTAATCACTCCTTTTCTTGCATTGACCTCACTATTTGTTCCACTGCACTTTTCACAGATTTTATTTGGAATATATTGGATAACCCTTATGGAAGCGACCATTTTCCGGTGTATCTTGCTCCCTTAGAAGTCCTGCCCAGGCTGCCTTGTCGTTCCCCCTGTTGGAAGATCTCTTTAGCAGATTGGAACCTTTTTCAGTCAAATATCCCTTCTTCTCTGGATCTTTCGCAAGCGCCCTCCGTGGACGAAAAAAATGCTTTCATAACAACAGCAATTGTTGAGGCAGCCCGTCTGTCCATCCCACAGACATCCGGCAAGCTGCCGAGACGTCCTAAACCGTGGTGGGATAATGAGTGTAAAGAATCCCGAAACCGCCAAAACTGTTCTTGGGCAAGATTTAGGAGGTATCCCACTTCCATAAACCTCCTGGCATTTAAGCAATTACGTGCAAAAGCCCGCTATATTAGGAAACAGGCGAAAAGGAGATCCTTTTGCTCATATGCATCTTCTATAGATAGTTTCACGCCAGCGAAGATTGTCTGGGACAGAGTAGATAGAATGGATGGTGACTACCATCCTTTCTCAATCCCCTTGCTGTTAGACGAGAAGGGAGAAGCATTTTCATCATTATATGAACAAGCCAACGCACTGGGTAGACACTTTGCACAAGTCTCTAGTTCTGAAAACTACACTGCAGAGTTTCTGCAGTTTAAGTCCAAGCGCGAGAGAATTCCAATTCGTAGGTCAGAAGATTGCACTGAAAAATATAATTGTCCTTTCTCCCTCGTCGAGCTTCGTCGAGCCCTTGCTGCTGCAAAGCCTACATCCCCTGGGCTTGATGCAATTCACCCTAGCATGCTTTCTCATCTACTTAAAACATTTCGAGTCATTCTCCTCCAGTTTTTTAACATCATCTGGGCGAAAGGAAAGTTTCCTAGCACCTGGAAACAGGCTATTGTCATTCCCTTCTTAAAACAAGGAAAGGACAGAAGTGAAGCCACGAGCTACAGGCCAATTGCCCTTACTAGCTGTTTGGGGAAAACTTTTGAGCGGCTGGTTAACAACAGGCTAATCTACATACTAGAAGAAAAGAACCTACTAAGCATTTTCCAGTGTGGTTTCCGCACTTCCAGGTCTACTGTTGACCACCTTGTACGTCTTGAGACGACGGTCCGCGAGGCTTTCATAAATAGGCAATTTTGTCTGTCTGTATTTTTCGACCTTGAAAAAGCTTACGACACCGCCTGGCGATACGGCATACTCCAGGACCTTATGTCGATGAACATAAAAGGGAGAATGTTCAACTGCATTGCTGACTTTCTGCAGGATCGTAGCTTTCAGGTACGCCTGGGAGCTACAATCTCCGACCCTTTCCCCCAGGAGAATGGCGTGCCGCAGGGCTGTGTCTTAAGCGTCACTTTGTTTATTATAAAGATAAATTCTCTATCTCAAGTAATTCCGCCCACAATCACTCATTCTCTTTACGTTGACGATGTCCAGATTTGTTTTTCTTCATGTAACTTAGCCATCTGTGAGCGACAAGTTCAACTTACGGTAAACAGGATGAGTAAGTGGGCTGACCAGAATGGTTTCCGGTTTTCTGCCGAGAAGACTGTGGCTGTTTGTTTTTCTCGAAAACGAGGAATGTCTCCGGAGCCATCATTGTATATTAAAGGTACACCCATTCCGGTTAAATCGGAGCATAAGTTTTTAGGCCTAATATTCGATAGTAAATTAGCTTTTGGCTCACATATAAAGGAACTAAGATTAAAATGTCAGCGAAAGTCGAATCTTCTTAAGGTCCTTGCACACCGTTCTTGGGGTTCCGACTGTGTCTGCCTTTTGCGAATCTACAGGGCCTGTGTTCGCTCAGTTTTGGATTATGGAAGTATTGTTTATGGTTCTGCCAAACCCTCTACACGCAAAATGTTAGACCCAATCCGTCACCAGGGAATCAGACTGGCAACCGGAGCCTTTCGAACGTCCCCCGTGCCCAGCTTGTATGTCGAGTCAAATGAGTAGTCGCTTGACAAACATAGATTTTATCTTAGCACGCAGTACTATTTAAGACTCCATACTCTTCCACAGCACCCAAATTTTTCTTTGATTGAAAGCATAAAATATGAGCGGGCCTTTCAAAACAAGCCATCCGTAACGCGTCCCTTTGCACTTCGTGTGAAGGATGCTGCAGCGACTTATAGTTTTGACGTATCTTGTTCTGTCATGGAAACTGAACAAAGACTTGCTTTTTGGGATGACCTAACTATAACATGCGACCTCTCTTTGACAAAATACAACAAGAAAGTGGCCGCCGCTAGTGTTATAAAACAAGAATTTTTTGGGATTGCTAGTCGTTACGAGACGGACAAAAGTTTTTTTACTGATGGGACGAAAGGTGCTGGGGGCTATGCTGGCTGCGCTGCGTTTGGGCAGTCCTACCAACCTGTTATTCGAATTAATGCCAATGCATCTGTGTTTACAGCTGAGCTTCATGGACCCTTAGTGATTGTAGATGAAATAATCAAACAAAAATACAGATTATCTGTGATATTTACAGACTCGCTCAGTTCCCTCCTTGCCCTTAACTCTGCAACATCCTGGAAGCATCCCCTGGTTTGTCTGCTTCGTGTTAAATTAATAAATGCTATAAAGCAAAACATCACTATTCACTTTTGCTGGGTTCTTAGCCATATAGGAATACACGGCAATGAGAAAGCCGACCGAGCCGCAGGTGCCTGTGTAAACAGGTCCATTGAAATTCACACCCTCCCAGTGACAGACTATAGAACTACACTACGAAATAATATCAAAGGCTCCTGGCAAGTAGAGTGGGACTCTGATCCTCACAATAAGCTACATAGAGTTAAACCTGTTTTAAGTGAACGGCGCAGCGCCAGACATCGAGAAAGGTTCTATGAGGTCATCTTATGTCGACTGAGGATAGGCCACACACACTTGACTCACAGCTACCTTTTAAGAAACGACGACCTACCGATGTGCGACTACTGCTCAGAAACCCTAAGTGTACTTCACATCCTTTTAGTTTGCCCACAATTTAATAACGAACGCCGCTCCTACTTTTCTATCTTTTTTTAGAAAACAAATACCTTTCCACTTGGCACTTTTGCTTGGAGACGAGCCTGTTACTCCGTACAGACAAGTTTTTAACTTTTTAGAAAAGTTTAATATTTTACATAGACTTTAAACTACAGTTTTCTTTAAGTGATATTTGATATTTTGATCCGCTGCAATAATAAACATTTAGCCTTGTGATATTTCCTTACCCTGTGTTTGGCACACTGTGGCCTATGTTGCTGCTGCGCCAGAAAACTCCAAATTCATTCATTCATCCACCCATCTCCTTAAAAGGCCAAAGCCGTGGTGGAATGAAGACTGCCGAGAGGCTAAAAAGAAGCAAAACAGAGCGTGGGGAATTTTAAGGCGATATCCTACACCTAGCAACCTTATTAATTTCAAAAGAATGAGGGCACAGGCAAGGTACATCCGAAGGCACGCTAAGCGGCGAAGCTTTAGTGGATATGCTTCCTCTATTAATAGCAGTGCATCCCTGAAAGAAATTGGGGACCGAGTGCATAAAATCGATGGTTCTTACCGGGCATTTTCTGTCCCACTTTTAAGTCGAAATGGAATATGCCCTGCGAGTCTGAAAGAGCAGGCAGACATCCTAGGGGAACACTTCGAATTTGTATCGAGTTCCGAGCATTATACTCGAAATTTCTAGTGACACAAGTTGCAGGCTGAAAAAAAGACCGTGACCACCTTTGGGACTATGGGAGAACCATATAATGCTCCATTCACACTACACGAACTTCAGTCGGCTCTTTTATCCAAGCAGTCTGCACCTGGACCTGATGGGATTCATTATAAAAATGCTCGAACATCTCCACCTGTCCACCCTGGAACTTATTTTGTACCTTTTTAATAGAGTTTGGCTCGAGGGTCACTTTTCATCCTCTTGGAAGGTTGCTATCATCGTACCAGTGCTAAAGCCAGGCAAGGATCCCTCATGTTCATCTAGCTTTAGGCCCATAGCTTTAACTAGCTGTGTTTCAAAGCCTATGGAGCGAATGATTAATAAGAGACTTATGTTTTACTTGGAGAGAAACAACCTACTTGATAAGTACCAGTGCGGTTTCCGTTCAGCCCGGTCCACAATCGATCATCTAGTTCGTTTTGAGACCGCTGTGCCGAAGGCATTTGTGAACAGGCAACAATGCCTTTCTGTTTTCTTTGATTTAGAGAAGGCTTATGACACGGTTTGGCGTTTTGGCATACTGCAAAACTTGTTCAGTTTCGGTGTTCGAGGTCGCATCTTAGCTGCCATCCAAAGTTACCTGGAGCACCATACTTTTCGTGTGAAGCTGGGGACAACACTTTCAAGAGAGTTCATACAGGAAAATGGAGTCCTCCAGGGAGGCGTGCTCAGCGTCACTCTTTTCATCGTTAAGTTAAATTCAATTACCCGTGTACTACCACCTTCAGTACAATATTTTATGTATGTTGATGACTTGCAGATCTCCGTCTCGTCCTGTAACTTATCGATTTGTGAACGTCGGGTTCAACTTACGGTTAATAACTTGATCAAATGGGCTGATACAAATGGCTTTAGATTTTCGCCCCAAAAAACAGCCTGTGTTTGTTTTTCTTGTCAGCGTGGAATTCGCCATGATCCATCTTTAAGTATGTATAGTACTCCGATTTCCATAAAAAGTGAACAAAAGTTTCTGGGTCTCATATTTGATTTAAAACTCACGTTTATTCCACATATTAAGAGTGTTAAACTGAAATGTCTGAAATTTCTCAACGTTCTTAAGGTTTTATCGCATGTGGCATGGGGCTCAGACCGACTGTGTCTATTACGCATCTATCGCTCTGTCGTTCGTTCCCGGCTTGACTATGGTTGCATAGTGTATGGTTCTGCCCGGGCATCGGCTTTGAAGATGTTGGACCCCATTCACCATCAGGGGTTGCGTTTAGCTACTGGTGTGTTCCGCACCTCCCCAGTACCTAGTCTGTACGTAGAAGCTAATGAACCATCCTTGGAGTATAGAAGGTTCGCACTAGGTTTCATGTACTCCATTAGGGTCCGCTCGGTCCCTGAGCACCCTGCCCGAGATAACATAGAAAACATTCGGTTCCAGAGAACATTTCAAGACAAACCCTCCATAGTTCCTCCTTTTTCAATTAGGAATTGTAGTTCAGCAGAGTCTGTTGGGATGGATGCAAAGGCCCCACTAGTCTAATACCCTCCACATATTGCCCCATGGGACTACAGCAACATTCACTGCGACTTCACACTAACGAAACATAGTAAAAAAGATGTTCAAAGGAAGTCATGAAGCAGGAATTTTTGAAACTTCAATGTAAATATCAACAGTATACAAGTTTCTACATGGACGGGACAAAACACGATTCCATTGTGGGATGCGCTATGATTGGACCATCCGTTAAGCGAGTAAGGAGAATAAACTCAAACGCCACCATACTCACGACAGAGCTCTATGGTCTGCTATTGGCGGTCGACTACATAACCAAGAAAAGGTTTCCTCGCTCAGTAGTATTCACTGACTCTTTGAGTTCTTTAAAAGCAGTTTTGTCGCTGGAACGGGTCACAAACTCGCTTGTTTCTGAATTGCAGAGTAAGATTATTCTAGCCGCAAACAGCAACATTCGCATAACTTTATGCTGGGTGCCTAGCCATGTTGGCATCCTGGGAAATGAAGCGGCTGATTCTGCAGCACGTTCTGCTAGCAAGAAACAAGTAGACTTGCGTGAAATACCTTATAGACCTTTTCCCATAAGGGCGCCGCCATCTTGAATTGTCGTCACTTCCAGTATGGGCGAAAACATTGTTTTGCCGTCGCCACACCAATAGAAGACATTTAGGATATAAGCCTAACCGTCACACATTCTCGTTTTGGCTCCCCTCTATTTTTTTTGCTAGTTACAGGTTGAAACGTTTTATTGTTTTGTCGTCGCCCATACTGGAAGTGACGACATTCCAAGATGGCGGCGCCCTTGTGGAAAAGGTCTATAAAGACTATCACACGTCTCTAAAACGGTGCATTCGGTCAAAGTGGCAATTTCAGTGGAATACTGAAATGAACAACAAATTACATGCTGTAAAACCTTACATAAGTGAATGGGAGAGTGCCCGGCATCGGGAGCGCTTCTGCGAAGTAATCCTGTGTCGGTTACGAATTGGTCATACACGTCTCACACATGGGCACCTTTTGAGTGGGGAGGATGCTCCAGTATGTGAATACTGTAACATAACCTTAGGTGTTTCACACATTTTAATTGAATGTCACACATATGATCAATACCGTCAGAAACACTTCTCACAACTATATAGAGAACATGTCCCACTGCACCTAGCTCTGCTTCTAGGTGATGAACCACTTATTTCACATGATTGCTTATTTAAGTTTCTCACTGATATCGGCCTTATACACCGACTGCGATTTTATTTTCCACCCCAAACTCATGACCATACCTTTTACACTTATACAAATGCGTGTCCTTATTTTTATCACATCACCTGCTACTATAGCTCTTTCTTCTCTCTAACCCCCTACTGCAATAGTTCAGACTCTTGGCACATTATAGCCTTAGATGCTGATGTGCCATAAACCCCCAATCAACCAATCAACCAACCAACCCAAAGGTCGTATTCTTTTTTATTGTCTAAAACGATGCAAGTTGTAGTCATAAACACGCAAAAAAAAATGCATTGCAAAAAAAAAGTTCCTTGCGCACGCGCGCGCCTTCTTATTTTTGACGTTTATATCTCCCGCGCTCACCTCCTTGCTTCTTTTGATCGGCGACGTCAAAAATCTGGAAAATTAGAAGCTTTGTAGGCGACATTTCTATAACATTTAATAACGGCAATCGTAAAACATGTTTTTTAACGCAATTGCGAACACACTACGGTTTTTCTTTTTGAAATACCAAAAATCAGATTTCAGTGTGATGTCGGTTCCTGGATTTGTATCCTCCCTCGGAAAACTTGGCGGCGCTCAAGCAGAGGGTTATCGGCGAGTTGGGGAATAAACCGTTTTTTTCCCGCGCCGGCACCCTTCTATCCCGCCTGCTCACCTCCTCCTCGCTTCGGGTCGCAGTAGCAACGGTGCTTTGCTTCAAAGCGTGGAGCGGAGGTCCGAAAGAAAGTCGAGTCGTAGGAGACCGCAAAATGTGACTCACTGCACTGGTGCGGATCGCGCGGGAACTTCAAATTCGGCATTTGGAAATTGTTTTTTTAATTCAGAAATACTGAATTCCCAAGTTTCGAATTTTGAGGGTAATGTCCCAGCATCATTTTCAATTGTTTCGGATAATCAAATAAAATATGATTTTGATGTGTCAGTGCCCCTTTCAGTAGAGAGTTCCGAAGGCACTTCCCTAGATGGGAGAAATCCGAGAGGAAGTGAAGGAACCTCTTCGGGTCAACAGGATGCTCCACCTTGCAGGTGACCTTGGTTGCAGTTGCCTGAATGCCCATTAGTTTCCACATTTTTCTGTTCCATGAGGCACCGTCACAGGTCATAAAGTCCACAAACAGTCCCGCCTGCTCTGCTAGGATTGTGGCCTTGACCACTATTTTAGAGAGAAGCTCGCCCTTAACATTTCCATGTGCAGCAAACACCCCCAAGATCTGCGAGAATTTGCCAGCGAAAGGCACAAACATCACAACCATCCCATGGTCGCATGGAAGGTTTGCACCTTTAGGCTGCGTGAAAGGGCCCAAATCCACAAATCCTTGCAGTTTCCCGGACTTTACAATACACAGATGTTCGGATAGTTTAATTTCATCAATTAAAATACCTCCATGACACCTGAATGTTTTCATTGTGCTTGTTTTCTCCTTTAGGGTTTGCAGAATTTTCTTGCTGAATCCGAAGTCGCTCTTGTATGTTGAAGTGTATTTCTTCAAAGTTGTGTTGCTTGGGAGAACAAGAATGCCGTGCGTTCTTATGTGTCTATACAGCTTCGGACTTTTCATTTTCATCAGAATGCACTCCAACACCCAATCATTCGTGAAATGCATGCCCCTGGTGCTTTTTCTCCTTAATGCTGCGAAGCAGTGCCGCACACTTTCCTGCTGCTTCTGAGATAGCATTGCAATTTTCTCCATCAAGGTTTCTTCCTTCATTACAGCATTTCGAGCTTTCATGCTTTCAATTTGTCCCTTTAAGCTTAGTACCTTTCTGGACAATCTCCTATGCTTCTGCAAGGCTGACCTAAGCTTCTGGGCAGCTGATGAAACTTGTCTGTGATGTTGATGCTTTGCTCACGAGGATCGAGAGATCCTCGTGAGCAAGGCCTTGCGTGAGCAAGGCCTTGCGTGGGCAAGGCCTTGCGTAGGTATCGACAGGGTAGGCATGGTGTTCCTGAAAAGAAGGGAAGTATCGTTTTGTTAAAAAGTGATCTCATACATAAACTCTCTGAAAATTCAAACATGGGTTAAAAGTAATCATTATTTTACCAATAAAAAAATGGGCACAGCTAGGGTGCTCCATTTCCCAAATTGTATTCTGCTTCTCCACTAGCCTTGGCCCTAAAAAAAGTCATACAAACTATTTTCTCAGCTCCTCTCGACTAATTACTAGTCCTCATTTATGTGGTCGCTGAAACACATGCCGGCCTGCATTCTTTCTGTTTTGAGAATGACGGAAAAAGACTTCTGTCATTTTGTTCAAACATACAGAATTGCAGTATGTGTTAATAATTTAAAAGCTTGTGAGTATAATTTGTTTTCAAGCTTACCTCTGGTAGCTGTCATCCCTACACATCTCTCTTAGAAGTCGGACTGAACGACTGTTATATTGCTTAGTAGCTTGTTTGTCAGATCTTCTTTCAACGTTGCAGAAGAGCACATTGCGCCAGGGCGTTTGAGGAATTCAGAGGCACGAAGAAGAACCCGTTCCGCTTCTGGGACAGTCATGACAGCTCCTTCAGCAATCATTTTCCCAATCAAAAATGTCTTGAATGTGACCTCTTGCATCGTGCTGACACCGAAGAGGACTGTCCTCTCCGAGGTGACTGTGCCAGTCCCGGCTTCAAGATCAAAAAGGGCGTACACGGCGCCTTCAAAAATAGCAAATTGATGAACCGATTAAGAGGCTGACGGAGTCTTGAGGTGTTACAGCTTCTCAACATCATTGTAGTTCGGCGATTGATCGCCACCGCTTCCGTGCTCACCTTGTGTAGGGGTATTCGCATCTGGGTCTTCATCTTTTCCCTTCTTGCAGCTCAGGCTTCCGAGTTTTGCAGACGCCTCCCGTTTCCGAGATGCACGTTTGGGTGGGGCTCTTGTGCTCAAGTATTTCGGAGCATTTGGCAGGATTGTGAAGACTGTGTCGGTTGTTAGCGTCGGCACTCCTCGCGGGATCCTCACCTCCTTGCCATCCGCAACGTGCACATAATCACAAAGAATGTAGTGATCCTCGAAGTGTAGCTCACAGACCCCACATTTGTCGTCAAGGGGCTTGTCACTGCGATGAAGACTTTTCTGCCACAGTTTCCGATGTGCTTCATCTTTGGGCACGCTTAACAAAGACAGTTTCTTTTCGGCTGTGATGCCTGCATAGCCTGTGCGACAACCAGGCGCAAAACAGTGGCACTGCCTTCCTTTCGGCATGCCGCCAAGACGCTAATTCCAGCCCACGAGAACACAAATCGGTGACGTGCACAGACATACAAAGAAAGACGACTGTACCATCAAAACTTCAGCAGCAAAAGGAGGAAAATCCGCCTCTACTGCCGCAGTCACAAGCAGAACACTACGCCGCGACCGCTCCGCATGCCCAAGCCACCTCGACCGCAGCGCCGCCACGCTAGCTTTCGACACACAGCGCTCCTCCTGAAATCATGGGTGGAGCTGGGGGCTTGCCCCACTTATACCCTCCAGTTAGTACACTCCACGGTGCAAGAAAGGACTTTTAGGTGATGAAACTCCTCCGGCGAACGCGGCCAGATAATGATCGGAGCCTAGCCTCGAGCCCGTAGTCGCCCGACTGGGCCAACGTAGGGGGCGCTGCAACATCGGGGGCTGGAAGACTGCGCAAGCTGCGTAGCGTGCGCTCTGACTGTGTTACCTGCGGGGATCGTTTTCAGCATTCTTTTTCATTTAACGGCCTGAAAACATCGTCGACGATTGTGAAAACGTGCTACGGCCGTAGCTTTAGGTAGCGACCGCGGTGGAAGCGACGAGGAGCCGAAAGAACGCAAGCAGGGGCTCAGCGCAGCGGTCGCTCCGGTGGTCCGGCGGGCAGGTTCTTTTGCAGTGCATTCGAATTGTTTTAATTTTTATCTTCGACGATACTGAATACAGTGGAGACGTGGTCTGTGCCCTGTTGACGGTCTTCGTTGTTGGGTTGTGTGCCTAGCGCACCGTGGCCTGGCGGCTCTGTCGCTTCGTAATGCTTGGACACTGTTGTGCGGGTGTCTTGGCTGTGTACTGCTGCGTGTGCTTGCAGGGTGCTTTTCGTATTTTATGGGAGCAACCGAATTTCAGTGTAAATTTCTTGGTGTCGGCAAGAGAAAATTGCACGAAACTCGGTGACGACAGCTACCACGCCGCTGCCACCAAGTCCCCTCTCAAAGCCCTTAAATCGAGGATACTTTCATTCAAGTTGCTAATGCTATCCACGTTCGCGCCCCTTAAACCTCAAGGGGTGGCATTCTATACATTTTTGAAAAACCGGAGACGACGGACGAGAAAAAGTTTTTCTCGTCCAGTCTCCGGTTTTTCAAAAATGTGTAACGTCGACCAGCTCGCCTGTCTACCACGGCACCGTGCTGTCTACTCACTCTATCTTCAAGGCATTTTATAATTGTTTTGTCTCTATACCCGGTTTATCAACCGTTCTTTGCGTCATCCTAAAAAACTACTGATATCAAGCTGAATTGTTGGGTCATATTTTTGTGGTGGCTTCTTTTGGTGCTTTTGTGATGCTGGTACTGCCATTACATAAAGCTGAAGACTAATTTCTGAAGCATTCCCCTTGCTCCGTTTTTTGTTTTTTTCGAAAATAAATGATTCAGTGGAGCCTTAGACTGATTCTTGTGTGTCTAAGGGTGGAAAGGTCTGGGTGAAACATGCAATACCACCTGGTGTTCTACTAGGTACACAACATTTGAGCAGAAAACATGTTTATTTGTGAAGGCAAGAAAAAAAGTGACAAGTCGAACCATTGAAGCAGTTACAAACTGTTCCATGGTCTGCAAATATCCCACCGCATTGTGTAGTGTTGGCTCAACGCCAGTGTAACGCAATGGACAACAATGAAAACAGCCAGGCAAGTAGGATATGTTTGTAAACAATAGTTGAAACTAAGGTACAATCAAAATTCTCATGTCCACAAGATGGGGTCGTCAGACAAAAAAGAACTCCGATGACAGCCCTCTTACAAGGAAATGTGGTTGTGCAAATGGCAGAAGTTATGTGCAATGCAGTTATCACTCAATATGCAGTCAGTATATTAATAGGCGAGGATCAGTGGCCGAGTGGGCTAGCGATTCTCAGCTTGGAGCACATGGAGCAAAAGTGCGTGCTGAAGAACCCAGGAATCCTGGATTCAATCCCCACCCCTGCCCGTTTCGATCTAGATGAGCATCATACCGGCACGGGTTCTCATATCACTACTGCGTGGTGCACGTTAGACACCAGGCCAGCGGTCGTACCGCACTGGCTAAATTTCTCATCTACAGCGAGAGACTCGCCGCAACTTTGCTATGGCCGACCAACTTCTCAATGTCTACATATCCACACAACTCAATTTTTTTTTGTATTAAAGGGGGGAAACAAGTTGGGTCGTGTGTTATTAAGACAGCTCGACTTTGGTCAGCTTTCGCAAAGTGCGACAAGTTTCTCGCTGTACATGAGAAATTGAGCCAGTGCGGATGACTGCTGACCTGTAGTCTAATGATGCTCACAGTAGTGATACACAAGTGCAGCCAATACAGTGGACTGGACTGACTAGATTTATCACCTGTGGCATACTTTGCTTTTACGACAGAGTGATTTCCGACATCTTACGATCTTACTGGCATTTCCTAAAGTGTAATAAACCTATCTAAGATGAGCACATCTTGGCAGACTTCTTCTTTCTTTGAGCTTCTTTCTTCATACTTTGGCTAATGTGCTTACTGTGCTGCCTCATCCACATGCTGACAAAGTAGTGCAACACCTGGGCAACTGTCTCTTCTTTATGTTCGGCACATGGAAATGTTAATGTGCACACGTCAAGAATGCTCTCGATTGTCTCCCAGTAGACGGTCTGGAGTTTTACATTTTTCACAAAAATCTCCTCAGTTTTCTTCAGCTGGTTAAAAAGATTTCGGTTTGGATGAACTAAGCCTCCCCTGTTTTGATGTTTGTCAGCGCTGCCTCAGCGGACATGTTTGGCTCGATGCTGAAAGCAGAACGGCACGTAGTGCAGCTTGAAGCCTTTCTCATTTTCCTGCTCAAAAAACCTGCTAAATAATACAGTACGCAATTTGCAACACTGGTTCCTTCAGCATTCGTTTCGTAGAAAACGTCCTCGCACTCCCAGTCATCAACAGAAATGAGATTGTCAAGTTTCTTCTTTACTTGGTCGACGAAGGGGGGAGATGACTTGCTCTCATTGTCTGCACTGATAAGGGCTTTGAAGTCTGATGGGTCAAGTAAAGGTTTCTCTCCCTCGACGACTCTACAGTTCCCAAATTTTGGGGGCTTCAGAATACTGTACATACTCAATGTCTGGTACAGCTGGAGGAATGTGGGCATCGATGGGTGGTCGTTCTGACTGCCTGCCATTCTGATCTTTCCAAAGAAGCGTTCAATGGGATCCTGATTTATCTTGCTTGTGAGGACAAATCTGAAATTGTACTTCTCCAACAGGAGCTCAGAAAGTTCCCTTGTAGATCTCAAGGTGACACGAAGTCCTTCAGATGTTGTCTTTGTTAGAAACATGTCCTTAATGATCGCACCACTCTCCAGCTCCTTTTCCCAGTTGTCTAGCCATTCCACACCACGTTTCAGGATAGCAAGGTCCGGGCTCCTTTTCACGATGCCTTCATCTGGGAAACGACGATTCATCGCGTCGAACAGGTCATTCAAGATCAACGTGAATTCTTCGGTTCCTTCACTGTTCACCACAATGTGCACACCTCGGCCCCTGTAAAACTGAATTCCCGAGGCCATGGAGCGACTAAACACTTGTGTAGCGAGCTTGACACGCATTTTCTCACAGGTACTAGGGTAGATGTGTGCATGCGTAGTCTTGGGACATGCCTTTAAATCTCCAGGTACAACGTGGTCTTCTTTGTAGACAGCAGCGTAGTCCTCCCACTTTATCCAACGCCCGTCCTTCTTCAGGTACCTCTGTTGTTTAAGCCGATTCCGGATGCACTTGATCAAGTGTGGTGCATCAGAAAAGGCAAACACCTTCCTATCGGGGTCGCTAGGATGTGTAAATGAGTTGCAGCAGTCTCCGAGTTCTCCACTAATGCCCAAAAGTTTCCACGTCCTTCTGTTCGTAGATGCGCCGTCACTCACAAAACCGTGAATTTTCGCACCAGCGTTTTCCATTAGTACAATGGCTTGTATCAGAAGCTGTGCAAGCACAGTGCCTTTTGTTGCACTTTTAGCTGCGAAAACTCCAATAGGCTGCGTGTAACTTTCGCCAAACGGACAAAACATAAAAACCAAAGCATGATCTGCAAGTTCGTCAGAGTGTTCAGCATCTGAAATCAACCCTACATATGTCATTGTCTTCGTGTTGACACGCTTGCTCTTTCGGACTTGCATTTCATCAAACATGATTATGCCATGTCGTTGGAAGTCGTCCTTTTTCTCCATTTTCTTCTTCAGGGCACTGAAAAACTTGTTGTCGAAACCAGACGTGAAGCCTACCATCTCAATGTAGCGACGTATTGTTTGTACCGACGGTAAGGCCAGGACTTCATTCTCCATGAGAAATCGATACCCGGCAGGTGACCTAATGTGGAGGGGGAGGCAAAGTAGAATTCAATTGTCGGTGTATCTTTGACCCTTTTTCGACTGAGCCTTGGCTGCCGCAACACACTCCTTTAGCACAAGCTGCTGGGCCTCGGGTAGATTTGCCTCTCTGGAGAGATGATCAAGGGTTTCATTGTTTACCTCTTGCAGTTTGGCTTTACAGCTAGCCAACTCTGCCTCCAGCTTCCTTTTTCCTTTAAGAAGACGCACTTTGGATTTACGGCAGGCAATCCTAGCTTTCCGTATTATATCCACACGGGCTCTCTTCGACGGGCTAGCCAGAAGCCGGATGCGTTTCATTTCACCCTTCTTCTTCCTTCTGGCGTCGTGAATTCGAAGAACATCCTTTAGTCTCGTACAGGCTTTGCAACTTTTCTCTTCTGTGAACAATGTGCATTTTTTGTGCCGCCATGTACCGCACAGGTCAACATCCGCACACTCGGGGTGAATACCACGGTACATTTCATTACATGGGCCACCAGCACACACATGCATTTCATGAAAGTCCTGAATGGCGCTTTTCATTACACTGAGAGAATTCAAAGAGATGTCTTGGCTTATGCCCTTGAGGGTGACAGAATGGCCGTGAGTAAACGTCCTCACTGACAGAGAGGCATCCGTTGAAGCAGTCACTTCAAGCGCCTTTCGGGTAAAAAGTGGCTGATCACGATCTTTTGGCATAGCTGATTCAGTGAATACGACAGATATCACTCCAAAGCCATCAAGTACCTGTGCAGCCCAAGCTCTGCTTGGAAGGGAAAGGCTGGATGCACAGCTTAACAAGAGGGAAAATGTGAGATGTTCTTCTCCGAGGTGTCTGCAACCAGTCAGTGTGGGAGGCTGCTTGTCCGTCGGTGCAGCATGACATGGCGTTCCCGAACACTGTTGGTTTTTCAGGGAACCACGGCTCGAGCAGTCAACCTGCGTGGTAAAAGAACAGGGCGCTTCGAGTTGAGAGATGGTTCCACTATCAGAAGCAACAAAGTGAAAAGGTGCGGTGGTCCCCTCTTACCTGGCCGCAATCAGTCAGTGCGGGAGGCTGCTTGTCCATCGGTGCAGCATGACATGGCGTTCCCGAACACTGTTGGTGTTTCAGGGAACCATGGCTCGAGCAGTCAACCTGCGTGGTAAAAGAACAGGGCGCTTCAAGTTGAGAGACGGTTCCGCTATCAGAAGCAACAAAGTGAAAAGGTGCGGTGGTCCCCTGTTACCTGGCCGCAATCAGTCAGTGCGGGAGGCTGCTTGTCCGTCGGTCGAGCGTGACAAGGCGTTCCCAAACACTGTTTGTGTCCTATGGAACCACGGCTCGAGCAGTCAACCTGTATGGTAAAAGAACAGGGCGCTTAGAGTTAAAAGACGGTTCCACTATCAAAAGCAACAAAGTGAAAAGGTGCGGTGGTCCCCTCTTATTTGGCCGCAATCAGTCAGTGCGGAAGGCTGCTTGTCCGTTGGTCGAGCGTGACAAGGCGTTCCCAAACACTGTTTGTGTCCCATGGAACCATGGCTCGAGCAGTCAACCTGTTTGGTAAAAGAACAGGGCGCTTAGAGTTAAAAGACTGTTCCACTATCAGAAGCAACAAAGTGAAAAGGTGCGGTGGTCCCCTCTTACCTGGCCGCAATCAGTCAGTGCGGAAGGCTGCTTGTCCGTCGGTCGAGCGTGACATGGCGTTCCCAAACACTGTTTGTGTCCCAGGGAACCACGGCTCAAACAGTCAACCTGTATGGTAAAAGAACAGGGCACTTAGAGTTGAGAAACGGTTCCACTATCAGAAGCAACAAAGTGAAAAGGTGCAGTGGTCCTCTCTTACCTGGCCGCAATCAGTCGGTACGGGAGGCTGTTTGTCCGTCGATGCAGCATGGTATGGCGTTCCCAAACACTGTTTGTGTTCCAGGGAACCACGGCTCGAGCAGTCAACCTGCGTGGTAAAAGAACAGGGCGGTTCACATCCAGTGTTGCTTCCTTTATTAAAAGTAAAACCATAGTAGTGCAGTATGCAATTCATTTACTGCATTTAGATTCCAATTACAGGTGCTGGTGACTGGAATATCAATGCTACTGGTCATAAAGGAATGATACTAAAGATAATTTAGGGTGCTGCGAGAGTACAGTAAACACTGAAGGCAAGTATTTGAGTGGTCAGTTGTTTCCATGATTGCTATATAAAAGGCATTAAACTAAGGACATTCACTATAAAAATTCCACAACAAAGTTTACCTTTGCAACATCTTGGTGAATTCCCCCACAATGTCCTCCTCCTGCTTCAGGATCACCATGTTCAGGATACACCACGGGTGATGCAACGCAGCTGGGATTAAGGCGTCGTCTCTCACACGACTCTGTTGCTGCTCGGGGATCATCACGCTCAGGACACAGTACGGGTGACGCAGTACTGCTGAAATCAAGGCGTGGTCTTTTACACGATCCCGCTGTTTGTGGATCATCATGTTCAGGGTACACCACTTCCGCTGGCGACCCGGCACTGGTTGAGGAAGCCCGGCTGGACCCCAAGGACACATTAGTGACAGATGACTTCGAATGACGTCGTTTACAAACGCTCGTCGTAGCAGGTACTCTTCTTCGAAATGCTTTTCTGGGCTTCTTGTGTCTTGTTAGGTACGTTGGGCAGCCCGAAAAATGCTGGGTACAGCGTCCACTGACAGCACGGGCTTCTTTGGGGCATCCAGAAGAACTTTACCGTCCAACAGTAATACGATCTTGACACCATCTCGGGAGGAAAATGCTTCGCGCAGACATGGTCACTAGACAGCACTATCCGATCAGCTCTCGGGATTGCACGGCGCCACTTTTCCAGGCGGGCAGGATCCGAAGGAGCTCTGAACACGGACACAGTCTCCGCACACGACCGGTAGCCCGAATTGCAATTCGGAACAAAACAATGCTTGCCCATTTTACGACATAGCAGCAACTACCTACGTACCTCCAAAACGTCCACCGTAGCTCCGTTCCCCGTTTCTATCGTCGCCGCTACCTCGAGCTACGCACGTAGCACGTTTTTAATTTCGAGGACGATATTCTCAGGCCCTCGAATGAAAACGAAGCCCACTGAAAGCGGTCCCACCACAGTTACATGTCACATCGTCAACGTACGCGGCATACCACGCCTTTCTTGCACCGTGATACCGAGTCCGCGGTTTTGGGCACCTGATCTCGCAGCGCCCCCTAAGTCGACGGTGTCTGCGTTCGAGGCACACAGTCCTTCTTGCACCGCGGTTCGAGGATATCCCTGAACATTATGTGACCGCGCTCGCCTGGCGAGGAGAGTGGTAAGTGTCATCACCTAAAGTCTTTTCTTGCACCGTGGTACACTCTAATGAAAGACCACGCTTGACACACATGCGACATTGAGTTTGCTTCAGTGGGCCCAACTGTGGAGTTTATCAAGATGATGTGCAAATGGTTCGCTGTCATGGATGGGAGCAACACCAGACAACATATCCACAAAATTGACCCAAACAGTCGATACTTTATCGACATTGAGGATGCAAGGTTGGAGTGGCTCGAGGTCACATTCTTGGAATAGCCCAAAAAGCTGAAGACGGAGAGTCACCCGGACAACTTCTTCAGTAAGGAGACTTACCACACACTCGTTCTCACGACTACATCGAATGTCGAGTGCATTTGCTTCCGAATGTGCATTCGCACGAAGATGAATTTCCTGAAAGGAAATTCATCTTCGTGCTCGAACAGAAGTTTTGAATGACCCAATTGTGGCATTGTATGGGCTTCTCCGCAGAACCGCAGGCCATAACGATGCCATGGACATGACTAGTGTTATGTGCGGACTCGAAAAAAATGTTAAGAACTGGAATTGTCTCTTCATCTGTGCAGAGCAACAGAACTGCTCAACATATTTCTGCAGCACAAAAGGAATTTCTAGTGATGCCACCCAAAATAGCAGCCATAGTTTCTTTCCATCAGCAGCAGAAGAAAGGCTTCAGGAACTCTGCACAACTCCAAGGCAGTGGATGCCGAATCCTGAAGTGGCAACCCTTGCCTTGATTGGTGGCTACTTAGCTCATGTGGTGACAAAAAAGTGAGCTGCGAAGGCTGCGTCAAACTTGTCGAAAAGTCCGAAAGAAACGCACTTGTGTATGGGCTGATCGAGTACCAGGACCGAGACGGTTTGAAGTACCCCACAAAAGAACTCGTCTCTGTGTTGATAGGTCTCAAGAGGTTCGTGGACATAATGCTCTTTCACAGGAAGGCGATCACAAAACCACTTGAATCTAATGTGGAACGTGCTGTTGCAGTGTTGGTGGACCTTCCTCTTCTAGTTTGTAGTAACCGCAACTCCAAGCACAGGAGGATCTTCCTTGAACTTTTAGTTCAAAAGTTTGTGAAACCTCTGCTGAGCAACCACGTGCTTAACATCAGAAACAAAAGCTTTGTTGCAAAACTGTACCTGAAGAAGCCACTTTCTCGTAAAGTGCTGAAGATGTAAATAGTGTTAAGGCCCGTTCACACACTTGAACCGGATGGGACCGACAGAGACAAGATGGGTTTTTAAGCCTTTTGCGACGGCATAGGACCGTATGCACTTCTGCGGAGGAGGTCCTAAACAAAGGGCCTAAAATCTGGTCTTGTCTCATTCTGTCCTACTCGGTTGCAAGTCTTTAAAGGGCCCATGAAACGAATTTTGGGCTGGAATAAATCAATTTAGATTGGAATTTTACTAATAGCACATCGTTCAGTGAGGTCAAAGGAAAAAAAAAGTAGAGAGTCGAAAGCCTGACTTTCGGTACGAAAATTTTTAAACACAGCGGACTATTTCGTACCTCCTTTCCTTCGTCAGCTCTCTGCCTTTTCATTGTGATACCATCTGCAGTCCCCAAAGCACGTCATATGACACCGGGCCTCACTTATTCCCTTCACCCCTAAACTGACATTGCAGTGGAAGCTACACGCTTGCCGGACCAATCAGCCGCCTCCCTTTCATCACCTGACCTCATTCTCTGCGCGTGAGTGTGCGCGAGAGAGCGTGATGACGTGGCAAAAGTGTGGCTGGCCCAACGAGCACGTAGCTTCCACAGCACTGTCAGCTTCGGGGTGAACGGGGTGGGGAAAAAAATTTTTTCTGAATTTTGAACGACGGGCTAATCTTCTAGGGGGAGAATGGCAGTATCCAGGTGCACAAACAATAGTCTGAGCAAGAGAGGACTCCCCCCTTTCCGTCTTCTTGAACTGTTTGGTGCAATGTGCGGTTTATGAGTTGAGGAGGAAAGCTAAAGAGGAAAAAGTTGTAAAATTGTTTCATGACCCCTTGAAGTCTTTTAAGGTTGCAAATATTTGTCCATACATCTTGGTAAATATTTTTCTTTAAAATCTTGTATATAGCTTCTGTAGATATTGACATATTGTTGACATTGTAAAAGTTCTTTGTGTATGTAGTGAATACTCTTGACGGTTGTTAATAATTATTTTCTTAATCCTCTTAATAAACACTTTAAACGTTTTCAGTTTTAAGTGGTCTTGCTCTTGTGAAATATATTGCAAACCTAACATTCTCACGTTTTTGTATCTTGGAACTTTTATAGCTCGAACAAAGTTATTAAATATTAATGTTTAGTGCAATTAAAATCGAGGGTTCTCGGTCACTAGTACTTTTTAAATTACCTTGAAAATCTTTTTATATAAAATAATAGATCTTGTAGGAAGCTTATATTTCGCTGTTGCCCTCATTGTTATCATAAGCTTCACGAACGGGAGCGCGATAAGACAAGCTCATCACGCAAATTTATTGCCCGCGATAACAAGTGGAATCAATGCTACGTCCAATCAAACGGAAGCATGTGAAGAATTTTCCAAAAGTAGCACTTCTCTATATTCCCGAAATAATACATTCTTAAACAGTGGGAATAGCATCTCGTTTCCATATTCGTCAAATGAAATAAACAGTTCAATGAGAGCAAATACCGGCATCCGTGAACTGCGCCGAGTAAGCAGCTTTCCCACTCACTGCTGGAGCGATGTGTGTTCGGGCTGCAGCGCCACGTAGCGGGAAACGAGAGAAATAGGGGCGTCTGCTGGGACCCATTGGGAAGCGCACGACCTGACAGGCATTACCGTATAAAGGAAGCGTTGAACTAACGGTCCTGAAACTCCAACGGCAAAATGGTGGCCGACCTACCGTAAAATCCCGAGAGATAGCCCACCTAACATGAAGAGCAAATCAGGTGAAAATATGTACAATCAAGAAAAGTTTAAAAAATTGATATTTTAAGGTCGTGTCCCTTCCGGCAACGAAGCGAAGATATCTGTACTTCCCACTCAGCAATGTTCGCGTATATCCTACCGTAGCTAACTAGCCGCATTTACGCCGAGGCCATCACTGATCCCAGTACTACGATTAATAGGAATGGGCTATCTTTCGGTGTTTAAAAAAATATAGCAAATCAAGCCCAAAATAGGGTTGGGCTATCTTTCGGGGTTGGGGCATCTGCCGGGATTTTACGGTACCCAACAATTGACATCATCAAGTCGTACCGCCCGATAACAGAAGCAAAGGTTGGCGGAATGGCCAGAAGGAATACAAATTCTGGAAGAGCTTCAAAATGGATTCTGAGGAGACAGAAGGAACAGAACGCAAGAGCGCAAGTGAGATGGTGTATACTGAACATTTTGAACCAACCCGAGAATGAGACCTTCTTCTCTTCTCCTGGTGTCAACTTTCATATACCACAGTCTCGGGCTGCTTCAAAATCTTCAGACAGTAGGCTAGAAGATAACCTATTTGTCATCACTTAATGTATAGATAGAGCAATGAAGGGCCATAGCCTATTAGGGTTAACTTATTTGGACATCAAGGGAGCATATAGCAGTGTGAACCAGTAAAAACTCTGGGACCAGCTGAAGGGGTATAACTTCGTTACAAATTTGACTAGGTCTCTTCAGCAGGTGTACACAGACAATACAGTAGTTATAACATGAGAAACAGAAACTACACAATCAGCAGCAATTAAAGGGACACTGACAGGGTATTTATGCTCGCTGAGGTTTTTAGTTGTACGTGACATATGAGAGCTCAACTACCCAGAACAGAATTTGCGCCTCGAAATTCGGTTTCTTTCCGCCCGAAAACCGCCGATCAAGAACTGGCCAGTTCGAGTCTCGCTCACTCTCTTTTTCGCGGTCACGGGCCGTTTCCTAAGGTATCGATGCGACCACCAAATTTAATCGAAGTCGTGGGTCACTGAAGGCACACACTCAATATTAAAAATAGAAAAAAATATGAAACCCATTTTTTGTGGCTTCTAAAAAGCTGTAAATACTTTGATTGAAAAAAAAAGTTCCACAGACAACCGGAAGCATTCTGTGCGTGCGTCGTTTCGCGTATCGTGGGACTCGCGGGGCCGGCGATGGCAGCGGACGACGGGCGTGGGATCGCTATTTCTGAACTGTCGTTCGCGGTACCGGCGAATTCTGTCTACCGTTAAAAGAGAAATTTGGGAC